AGCAAAAGAAACAATTAACAGAGCTAAAAGACAACCAACAGAGCAGGAGAAAATATTTGCAAAATATACATCTGGAAACTTTTTTTATGCTTGTAGCCTTCGAGTGTACTGTCGAGCCTTAACTGTGAACTGTCTGCTGCTGTCAGGAAAGAAGGTTCTTAATCTGAGGTTCATGGAGCCATTAAAAGGCTTCGGGGGGTACATTCACCCACTAAAATTGTACGCAAAAGATTTGAAATGCATTTTTGTGGGGAGAGGGTCCACGTTCTCATTCTGCCTTCAGAAGTTTCCCTGATCGCCCACCAAAACCCTGAGAATCACAGCTTTAGATCATCATTACCACTTATGGCAGCTTCTCTAACATTCCAGCTAGTTACCTTCTCCACCAACCCAAATTCAGAACAGACATCCCTTCCATTTTAGAACTTTCACCTCAGAGACTTCTAATGTTTTAATATTTCTAAAGCTGATTTTACAAGCATGTGAATAAACACAGTACAGTTAAACATGGATACGTTGTAATCTCCACAAAATAACTGCAGTTCTCAAAGGAGGAGAGTTTTAAACAAAAGCTATAGTAAATACCATTTAGTCTCCCCTCGGTGGTTTAAAAGACTCTTCAGTATTTTGTCATAGCTTCCGGTCATCATTAAGAAAAAGGCGGTATCAGGTACAAGAAACTTAAAGGGAAGACTGGGACTGTGAGAGTTATAATCTACAGAGCTGTTGAAGGAGGAGTAATGCCGATGTTTGGCAGAGGGTGGAGAAGCTTGGCATGACATTTGTTTCTCCTACACAGCCCACGGCATTATAGTAATTTTTTATTTTAAAAGACTCTGAGAATAAAATGATGGCTATAACAGAATGCCACATGGCTAAACAAATAATACGGTGCTGTAATTACACATCCCATCTGCTTGCCCGTGAGGAAGTTACAGTCACCATCAAGCTTGTGATGAAATTATAATTTCACACTCTGCACAAAATAAATGATGAACCAAAATTATTTACAAAAAGAATTTTTAAAAAAAGGGGGGGGGGGAAACATTTTGGCTATGCTTTGAATTTTAAGCCCAGTCAATTAGAAAGGCCAGAGTTACGGAGCTATTTTTATACCTCTGTTAAGGAAATAGACTGTCTAGAATAGTGCTGTCCAGTAAAACTTCAAGAATGGAAATGCTCCAGTTCTGTGTTGTCCAATACAGCAGTCACAGGCCGTGTGCGGCTTTTGAGCACTTGAAACGTCACTAATGTGACTGAGGAACTGAATTTTTTATTTTATTTTTTAATTGTTAATTTTAATCATCATAAGTTTAAATTTAAATAACCACATGTGGCTAGTGGCTACTGTATTAGACAGCACAGATACAAAAGAATACAAAATTATAAAGTTGAACTCAATGAAAATAGATAATTTATGACAATTATGTGAATTTTATGGTGCCAGTAAGTGCAAATAAAAGGCTTTTTTGATTTCTGTTGAAGTGTGTTTACCACATCAGTGGCCTCAGATCATGAGGAGCCAATTGCACAAGAAAAGAGAAATAGGAGGAAGTAGACTGCACTCATCTAACATGAACTTTTACTAGAGAATATCTAGACATCAGTAAAAATCTGCTAAAACATGTAAAGGTTAAAATGAAAAGAGCTAAAATGGCCTTTAGTTTATTTTGCAACCTGAATCAAAGTAGCAAACTTTTAGAGTGAGGTGAGCAAGTTGACAATTACCCATACCAGTTTTATATACATATATTATTTATGAATTTATAATTTTTAAAATTAATACATGGTGTTTTGCTTATCGGTGATGAGGGAGGAAGATGGGAAAATAAGTCCCTGTGATTCTTCACTTCTTTTTTTTAAAAAAAAGTCCATGGCAGTGTTGCCAGTTTACAACGAAGAATTAAAGGTTGAGTTCTGAGATTGATGAAGAAGGTCTGGGGAAAATCAAGCCCCAGGAGACATCCCATTCTTCCAAGGAGTTGGATTTGGTTGTCCAGGTGAGGGAGCACGTTCTGCCATTTTCCATTGCTCTGTTTCAATATTCACCGCGCTGAGCTTCCCCTGTGCATTTAATTTAGGGAGACAAAGTGCTGATCTTTTAACATAAATGTTCGGTTACCTTGATCCTTAATCATTAAAATTCTGGGGCCAGGGCACAGTCTCTCGTGAGTTCAGACACTGTGGATTTATCCCCTGAAATATTAACAGAACACAGTTTCCATCCTTGCAAGCTTAAAGACCTGACCATGAATCATGATGGCTATACAGCAGGCCTCTGGGGACTTTAGTGGCCAGCTGGTCTTCACAGCTGACATCCTGCCTCCTTTGACAGATCATACAAACTTGTTCAGCTCTACAGAATCATGAACAGTACCCTCAACTACATCATTAATGACAACACTTACTGAGCTCTTACCTAGTGCTAGTGCTATTCTAAACATCTTATATTCAACCTTACTTTGCCTCTGTGAGTGGGTATTCCTATAAAGTAGGTATCATTACATCCTCACTGTGGTACACCAAGGTTAGGAAATTTATCCAAGGTCATAGACGAGCACAAGTAGATGACAAAGTGAGGATTCAAACTCAGGCAGTGTAACTGCAGAGCTTACACTTAGTCACTGAATATCTTGCCTTATACTCAATAATGCCTAACAGAGCTGTTTCTGTCAGGAATTTTTTTATGCAATCTTTCCACAAGAAGCTTGCCTTTTATTAAAGCATACAAGCAACCTTTCAGCCAGTCATAAAAAGGATTTAGAAAGACAGAATATGTTGTATTGGTCATTCAAGCTGTATGTTTTCCACATCCAGGCATCTTCTGAACTAGTATCTCTTTTATAAGAAGAAAATGTAGATCAATATACCACATAGGCAAATATTAATGAATGCTATGACAATTGAGAATATTAAGAAAAAAAAGGGAGTTTTTTGTTTTAATCATATCACTGAACACTTGCTGTCTCTGTTACCCATTTTAGCCTGTAGATGAAAGACTGATCAAAATTAAAATCTTTGGAAACAATTTTTCTAGGAAATATATAAGAAGCAATTTACCATTAGTTGACAGAGAAAAATTTATTTTCTTAGGTAGTTATATATCCCTGTTTTAAATCTGGTTTTCATTTACAATTGTAGAACAAACCTTTCACATACTTTGAAGGGTATACCCTATAAATTATGGTATACTGTTTTGAAGTATTAGAATTTATAAGGTAGAAATGAGGTTACATATTTTAATACAACTCTATCAGCTTTACTAACATAAAGTCAGAGTAGGGGAAGGATGGAAGGCCCTTGGGAAAGGCAGTCAATAGTCAGGGACCATTGGCAATTGTTACACGTGACTTTTGCTGCCCCCAGGGCTGTTGTGAACTGAGGAAGTAAGAACTATATTTTGTCAAAGCTAGGACTGTGTGTTTCTAAAGTCCTCAAGGATGGATTGGAGTGCAGAGAACAGTACCGGCAATACATCATAAAATTATAGGACAAGTATTAGACAAACATATCTATTATTAGACAATTCTAATTTTAATCAGAATATGTGTGTTGTGAAGTACTGTGTTCATGAGTCTACTTTCTACCAATAAGATGCCAATAATGCTATTTGGCAGTAAAAAGTGGGGTCAAGCAAACCTAGGATGCAATGAAAACATAATCTGAAACGTTTTAGGAGTATGTCCAAAGGAAGGCTGCCAGAATGACAAAACTACATCATGAGACCACAATGACCACTTCTGCAAAGCATTCCAGGACCTGGGCAGACAGGTGCTTCTAAAACTTTTATTCCAAACTGTATTGAAGTACCATACCTACGTGCTTGCACAGGTGCGTGTGTGTGTAGCAGAGTTCAGAGGATTCCTATAATAATAGATCTTATTTACTGAGTGCTAATTACATGCCAGGCATTGAGAACTTCACGTAATTTATACCATCACCGAAATGAGTTGGATATTACAATGTCCATAGAAGAGATAAAGAAAAACTGAAATAACTTGGCCAAATTTGTCAACTTGGCCAAAATAACACAGGTCATGAAAGGCAGAGCTGGGACAAAGCTCTCAGTCTTAACCACAATGCTCCAGCGCTGGAGGGGAGATTTCTGCAGTAAGCTCAGGATCCTTCAGACTATAAAATCCTGTGAGTGTGTAGACTATACTCCGTTTCTAGTTATATTTTATCAGAAGAAAACCACATCAAATATCTGTTTCAAAGTAAGTTTCTGAACTAAACATTGTCAAAGGTCATTTCCCACTTTTACACAATCTTTCAGTAATTGATAAAATTTAGAGAGAGAAGATAAAACCATACTCTTATTTTACTTTATTTTGGGGGTGGCTGGCTGGTCCATGGATCAAGCCCTGGACCTTGGTGTTATCAGCACCATGCTCTAACTAACTGAGCTAATCCACCGGCCTAAAACCATGCTTTTAAAAGAGAGAGACGGGCTTTCTGTAGTGGGGATGCATTACTTAGCATTTGGAATAGAAAAAGATGACAATCTCAGACTACTCTCTTGATAGAGCTGGAAAATACAAAACTTCTCATGTCCAAATGGCCATCACCAGACAACCTAACAGGCATGTCTAATAGCTATAGCACAACTTCCAGTTATTTTTGAAAATTCACTTGGATAATTAACATGAATGAGAGACTGGCAAATGTAAAGTATTTAAAAGAACATCCCAAAACTATTTACTCATTAACTAGGCTACAAATATGCCATCTACATACTGGAAAAGCTAATAATTACTCTCTAATTGTGCTAATTATATAATGACAATGGTTAAATGTTTGTTTACATAATGTTAGATTTCTCTGACTAATCTTATCATTAGTCAGACTTTGGACTTCTGCCACCATGTATTCATGTATATAGTGGTACATGCCAAACTGTTTGAGTAATTTATTTTTAACACTGGTTGTTAAAGTGCTACTAGTATTCAAATCAGAAACTTACCACATCCTCAGGAGGAGGTTCTACTTCCTTCTTTATCTTTTTACCCATTCTGGAAAAAGAAGCAATAAATGATTAAAGTGTCATTTGTGCATTATATGTGTACAAATCTCTCAGTTACCTATGTTCTTAAGAAGAGGTTTATCTTCTCCTTTACATTTTTCCCTAATAACAGACAAAGCAATACACGTAGAAATTATTGCACATGTACAAATATGTTACCTACATCCGTATTTCAAACTATAATTTTAAAGGGTAATTTTAAAGGATCTTTTTGATAAGATTGTTGAGCATTAGTCCTGGCTTCCAGTTTGCAATATATTAGTTTGAAAATATATGTATAACATATTTTTTTCTCCAATTTATTTTTTATTAAAGCATAATTGATTATACCTATTTGTGGGGTACAAAGTTGACTATCAGTAGCTGTGTACAATATGTGATGGTCAAATCAGGATAGTTAGCTTAGTCATCATTACAATACGTTGTCATTCTTTGTGTCCTTGAACCAATTTTTCATTAATTTCTCATTAACCCCCCTACTTTTCTCCCTCCCCCTCTCCACCTCTAGAAACCACAGTTCTGTTGTCTCCTTCTAAAAGTTAAGCATATGATTGTGATTGTTGTTTCTTTCTTTCTGTCTCTCTTTCTTTATTGTTTATTTATTATTAATTCAGCTCCCACTTATGAAGACATGCGGTATGGTATGTCTTTCTGTGCTTGGGTTGTTTCACTTAAAATAATTTCCTACAGGCTCATCCATGTTGCTGTGAATGGCAGAATTTCATTATTTTCTTATAGCTGAGTAATATTCCATTGTGTATATATACCATATTTTCCTTATCCAGTCATCCATCAATGGAAATTTAGATTGATTCCATAGCCTGGCTATTGTAAATAGAGCTGCAATAAACATGGGAGTACAGGTATCCCTTCGACATGATTTCCATTCCTTTGGATTTATACCCAGTAATGGGATAGTTTGAATATATTAGTAACATAACTTGTACATACATAACAGGAAATAGTTTACCATGCTTATAGTTCACTTATGTTGGATGTGAGAGACTAAATCCAAATTACCTTTGAGATCTGTAAGAATGTGCCACAAAGGCAGGAATTTTTGCCTATTTCTGGCACCGATCTATTCCAAGCACCTACAATAGTGTCTCGTACATAGTAGACATTAATTCTATTTTTCCTGGGTGAAATAATTTTGTGAATAGTATACAAGATCTACCAAATCTGAATCAACGTTTGTGTCCTTTTCTCAGATAACAATGAAGTTTTCTCTAATATAATCCATAGCTCAATAAAAAAGCAATTGAGAATCTGAAGAGATGTATTCTGGGGAAACTGAGGGTACTTTTTTGCAAGACCCTTTTCCATTTGCCCTCATATGCCCATGCCTATGTGGAAAAAAGCCAGAGAAATATTATATGTACATAGTTGACATACCACAGAGAAGCAATTCATCCTAGGTACAGAGAACTTTCCAAGATACTGGTGCCTGTTAGAATAACCAAGAAATCTTTCTAGTTTTCTACAAATGAAAGTTTGTAGGATTATGTTTGGCATTAGAGCCATCTCAGATGCTATATTCTAGCATCAAGGAAATTACCATAGTCTCAAGGGAAACCCTGAGAAATAGAAAATCCTTGGAGGGAATCTACAATATCAGGGTTAGTTCAAAGAGCTTGTCAAGGGTCAAAAGCAACTCCTCGCATTAGCGACACTGACCAGAATTAATCACATATATTAAAAAGCCACGTGTTCATAAAAACTCATAGGGACTTCTGCAAGACATCTGTTCCAGGTCACTAGCTTCAGGCCACATGAATTTTAAGATCTTTGATAGCCTGGGCAAGCTTACTCTGTGATACACTACCTCACACTATATCCAATATATTAAGATGTTAAAATGTACCCAACGTCCCCAATTAAATGTAATTTTCATTATAAAAAAATTGAAATTTGCATTTGAAATTACTCAGTAATCAGTATGTACACCTGAAATTCTTGAAAAATGAGAAAATCGTTTTCAAATGTAATGAAATTTTAATGCTAATAAAAACATTTAATTAACATTAATTTTTTAGTTTTCTATTCATATTTTAGAGCCATTTTTTTTTTTCAAATCTCAAACATCTTTCATAGGTGCTTGAAAAGTGCACAGGCTCTAGACCTGTGCCTGTAATGTTTCAGGCACACACACAGAAACTACTCTGAACAAATAAGAATCTATCCTATAATTAATTTCTTAAAAAAATGAGTTCATAGCTCCTTATAACCAATTCCAAGATATAGCAGCCTTTAATTTATAAAAGAATTCTTTATGAATAATATTTAAAAAGCAATTAAATTACACCTGCATAAGTTGTTTTAAATTATGGGATTTTCACTCAGAAACTATTTTTTTCTATTTCAGGATAGTGTTCTCCAGCAATTGCATAATAAACAGTGCAAAGGCTGGAATAGCCTATACATACAGTATTGCAATGATAGAGCTTATCCCTAGCAATACTATGAAGTTAGAAGTGTTTGTGTTTTATCACCATGTTGGGTATAACAGTTAATGGGGAGAGAATAAACAGCTGACATGAGCCAGGGGCAACGAACCTCTGAGATAACCCTAATTGTTTTTCTTCAAAAAGGTAATGCATTTCATTGTAGAGAATTTGGAAAACAAAGAAGGCACAATGAATAAAATAAAAATCACCCAAAGATAAGCTCAAGGAAATCAGTACTACTTCGGTGTAGATCCTTTTTTATGTTTCTTCCGTAGTAATTTTACCATCCTTCCTGGATTTTATCCCCTATTCTCACCTTCCCTTCCTGGGAATTTTCCTACTAAATTCTTAAATTAACAGAGAAGTACATAAAATCTCAGTCTCCATTTATTGCTCTAATCATCTCCAATGGCTCAGCATAACATGTCATTTAAAAGAATACTTTAAAACACATTATTTATCTAGCCAGTCTCTTACTGTTGGGCATTTGTTTCTAATTCTCTGGAATTATGCAAAAGGCTGCAGTAAACATCCTTGGACATAAAATTTTCATCCACATCCCCAACTGTTTCTTTAGGATAAATCTCTAGCAGTAAAGTAACTGGGTGAAAAGGTACGAAGATCAGGGCATTAGATATGAAAACAAGTCTATATTAAGTTTACATCTTCTTTATTATTAGAGCCACATTTTTTTCACGAGTTTATTGACTATTTGATTTTTTCCTTCGTGAACTTTCATTTTATGATTTTAAATATTTTCTAATAGGGAGATTTGTTTTAAGACAAAGGAGAGGAGGGGGGCTAGAGGAAGTCGTGGGCCACTTCGTGAGTTGCTCACAGTCAAGTAGACTCTCAGATCCCCTCTTGGGGCCTCAGCTTTGTCACCTATTCAATGGGAGGTGGCCAGATGCTTGTGAAACCCACCTGACCCCCGTCTAACACTGCGGGTACCGGGCAGGGACCGACAACCCCTAACACGGTGTTCCCTCAGTTGCCCCAGCAGTCTCCACCCTCGCGGCACCTTCTCCTTGCCCAAGTTTTGCTCGGGCCTCTGCGCTGAGCCTCTCCAACCCGCGGGGGTAGGCCTGCAGCCGGGGTCTGCTTTACCTGCCGCCAAGTCCCGCCGAGCCGCTTCTGGTCGCCGCCGGCGCGCGCCTCCTGCTCTGTGTTGGCCCTCGTTGCTAGGCGACGCCGCGCCTGCGCGCCTGCGCCCTGAGAGCGCGCGCTCGGCCGGTGGAGGCGCCCTTTGGGCCGCCGAGGGGCAGCGGTCAGTAGCGGGGAATCTAGTGCGTCCTCGGTTCCCTGAGTCCGGTGCCTTGGGGCAGAATAGAAATTGGGAATCCCCCTCTTCCTGGTTGTTGGGGGCCAGCCAGGTGAAAAGTGTACATCAGGAGGCAGCTCAGCCTCAGCTCTGGCCGGGGACTGCTGGGATTCAAACGCGCTGAGATGCCACCGCGCTCTCCCAGCTACTGGCCCCCGCCAGGATCTCTGTGCGGGTGACACCCAAATCGCCGCCTCCTGCCCGGACTCCGCTGAGCTGCAGACCTGAATTGTCAGCGTTGCGTGTACTAGGATGTCCAGTCTTCCCCACAGAACCTTCAAAACCTCCTGCTCTTCCTTTCTTTCCTCTTTCTGCCATTCTTCCCAATGGCCTAGATGCAGAAAGAACCTGTTTCCTTTCTTCCTCCCCTGTCCCCCAACCGCCATCAGCAACTAAGTCACCAGTTGGCCGCCTACATTTTGTTCCCTATATATTCCCTCTCTCGTTTCTGTCAAAGGACAAACTTGCAACAAATTTAGCTAAAGATCTCTATTGGCTTTATTCCGATTCTAGAACCGGGCAACACGTCATTCCATAAAATACAGTAAGTGTTCCAATGAGCTGAGAAAAACAGGTTGACTTTGTAGACAGAAAAAGAGGCTGAAGAAAGCAAAAACAATGAAAAAACAGATCGGTCATTTCAAAGTTGCTTTTCTTGTAAGGTGCAGACAGGCAGACAGAACTGTAGAAAAATAACTGACCAGTTAGCATCCGGTCACTTTAGGCTGTCTCTTCTGTGTAAGGATTAAAGCAGAGGGAATTTCGTTCTCGTGCCAGTTGAAGATTTAAACTGGCCTGTTCAAGAAATTGGCTGTTATTTCTCTCTCTTGATTTCTGGGGAGGTCAGACAACTACTTGGTTTTAGTTTGGTGACTGCACCATTAGCAGGAGTGACTCCATTTTGATTGTTAGATTGGTCTTCTTGGGTCTAGGACAGGAGCTTAGTCCGAGACAATGGCCTCCTATAATTTATTTAACATTTCCTTACTGTCACTCCAATCGGGTCATCGTTTTTGGCCTTCTAGCTAGTGACTTCAGTTTCTCACTCCTTCCGGTTCTTTCTACATGCTATGGACAAATCAACCTTCCAGAAATCATTGTGCTAGTCTTTGTCACTTTCTTACGCAAATGTCAGTGGCTTCCTAGGAAAAACTTTAAACACGTTAGCCTGGTGTTGAAGAATGGCTGCCCTATCCCTATTCTATCTTATTTCCAACCACTCTCCTCCCTCCACACCCCAGCAAAACTTAACTCTTCTCCACAAATTTTCCATACTTTTCTCCTCTAGATTTTTGCCAATTCTGTTCCTTCATAATTTCATTTTTCAACCAATATTTATTAAGCACCTACTATTTGCCAGGTCCGTGCAACTCCTGGAATATTCTTTTATCTCTGCTGAATTAAGCCCAGCTCATATGCCATCTTCATAAAACACTGATTGCCTTTAGCAAGAAGTTTCTCCCTCTTCCCTACACTTTGCAAACTCCATCTCCCGCCTGCCCCCGTTGGCTCCCCAGACTTGAGTGTTAGATGCTTCTTTCAGTTGCTACTTTTGTATGTATTTATGTTATCTTCCCACCTTTTAAATTACCTGATAAGCAGCTTTATGCATATTTAACAATTCTTTATTTTAAATTTTCTATGGTCAAATATCTGGTGTGATTTCTGTCTCCTGATTAGACATAGAATAATACACACCTGTATTTTCAGCTTCTCCTTCTGTTCCAGTTTTTTTTTCCCTGTCATTTATAAATGTAGTAAAGTATCTCCCATGCCTCATACAAAAAACAAGAACAAAAAATTTCTTCGATCCTGTTTTTCCTTCTAGCTATCCTTCTATTGTTCTCTTTCTCTTGTTGGTCGTGACTTTCCAAAAAAAAATGTAAGATACATTAGATACTTCCACATTTTTAACTTCCCATTCACTCTTCAGACCGTAGTGATCTGGTTTCATCCCAACACTAAAACTATCCAAATCCATTGGCTATTTCCTTGTCTCCCTCTTTGACGTTGCTGCTGTATGTAACATTCTTGATGATACCTCATTCTTGAAACTCCTTCCTCTGGTTTCTTTGATACTGCATGTTCTTGATCCTCCTACTTTTATGACCATTATTTAAGGTGTCTTCTATACAGCTTCGAATATTGATGCTCCCCTGGGATCGGTCCCTGGTTCTCTTTTCATACCCTATGCTTTTCAGAGTGATCTTGCTTCAATTTGTGACTATAAGTATCATATATATAACTTCCCATCAGACTCTGAGACTAAACTCTAGGCTCATATAATCCTTCCACTTGCTGGACAGCTCCACCTGGATGTCCACAAGCCCCTCAAAACTCCCCACATCAATACTACCCACCTAAACTCAGCATTTTCTCAGTGTAGACCTATTTTTCTGTTTATTAAGGGGTATCACTACTCACCTTCATACCCAGACTGTCAAGTCTGAAGGTCATCCTAGACTTACTCTCCTTCATATGCAGTCGGTTATTGGATTCTCCTAAAAGTCTCTTGAATTTATTCTCACCTTTCCATTCCCATAGATCAAGTACAGAATTTCACCATCCTTTACCTGGATTCATCTAGTAAACCTTCTAAAAGGTCTTCCATCTTCTTGCTTTACCCCAGCTTCAATATATACTCTCCAGGATGATCAAAGTAAACTTTATAAGTTGCAAATATAATTTGAATCTGTCCTTGCTGTCTCCAGTAGCTCTATCGCATATGTGATGCGATGCAACAAGAGTCTTAAATTGGCATTCGAGATCCTTCTTGTTCTGACCGACTCCTCCTTAATATAATAGCTTCTCTCATCGCTCAAAAAATTAGCAAACCACTTATTCTCTAGGTACACCATGACATTTCATGCCCCTAATCAGCCTGAAAACCACTTATTCATCTTCCAAAATTGATCTTAGTCATAATTTCCTTCAGAAAGACTTATTGGCTTCTCCAGACATAGTGAAACATTTCTCATTTTGTGGTATTACTGTACTTTTCCCTGGCTCTATTTCTGTTCTTTTCACATGATATTGAAATTTATTTGTTTATATGTGAATCTCCCCACCTAGACTGTGTCTAAATGTTCTTCAAATAACTAACGTTTGTTGAATACTCACTATGAGCCAGGAAATGATGAAGTGGTTAACATGCATTGTTAAATCCCCACCATAGCCCTGTGAGGTACGAATGAAGTAATTGGCGTAAGGTTGCTCTACTAATAAATGACAGAGACAGGGCTTGTCCCAAAGTTGGCCTGGCTTTTATAGCCATGTTCTGAACCAATGCATCGTATCAGCCCATCCTGAAAATACAGTGTTAAAACAATTTGTAAAGAGTTTTTATGAAATAATTAAAACTGCTTTGATTCTTTTTATCATTGACTTAGTCTCTACTGAGTATGTCTAATTTTTTGTGGTCCTGTTTATTTTAATGTGTACAGATGGATGAGTTTTGACAAGGGTTTACAGTTGTGTAACTACCACCACAGTTATGACACAGAACATTTCCATCATCCCAAATTTCCCTCATGCCTTCTTGATATCAAACTTCTCCTTCCAGCCCACTTCCCTAGGGACAACTATCTGTTTTCTCTCCCTATAATTTTGTCTTTTCTAGAATGTCTTATAAATGGAGCTGCACATTGTACTGCCTTTTGTGTCTGGCTTCTTTAATTTAGCATAATGCTTCTGAAATTTGTCCCTGGTGTTACATATACCTGTAGCTTGTCTCTCCTCATTGCAGAGTAGTATTGCATTGCATGGACATACAACATTCATTCACAAGTTGGTGGACATTTGGGTTCTTTCCAGGTTGGAACTTATATAAATAAATCTGCTCTGAACATTTATATACAGGTTTTTGTATGATCATGTGTTTGCCTCTCCTTGGGCATACCCAGGAATAGAATTTCTGGGTCTTTTGCCATGTGTATGTTCGGTGTTATGAGAACATGCCAAACTGCTTCCCAAAGGAACTTTATCATATTCGTGTTCCCACCAGCAATGAATGAGAGATGCAATTGCCTCATATGCTCTGTAGCACTTAATATTGTCAGTCCTTTTAATTTTAGCCATCCCAGTGGGTTATGTGTAGTAGTGTCTCCTTCTGGTTTTAATTTACATTTACTTCATGACTAATGATAATTACCTCATTTTATGTGCTTGTTAGCCATTTCTGTTCCTTCTTTTGTGAAGTATCTGTTCAAATATTTTTCTTACATTCAATTGGGTTGTTTGTCTTATTATTTTGGGTTGTAAGAATTCTCTATATATTCTGGATACAGGTCATTTATCATATATTTTGATATATCATATCATATATTTTCTGATACAGGTCATTTATCAGAAAATATTTTGGAAATATTTTCTGCCACTCTGTGGCTTATCTTTTCATTTCTTTAAAATATCTTTCAAAGAACAGAAGCTTTCAGTTTTGATAAAGTCTAATTCTTTCATTTTTTAAAAGTGTAGTGGGTTTTCTTTTGCTTTCTTTGGCATTTGCCCTACCTAAGAAATCTTTGCCTACTCTAGAGGAAAATAACCCGTTTATCTTATGTTTTCTTTTAAAAGTCTTACAGTTTTGACTCTTAATTTATGTTAAGTTAATTTTCGTATAT